GGTGTGTGGGGGGCTCGACCGGTGATAATCCCACGCCCTCCCCCAAGCGCGGCCCCTGCCGGCCCCGACGGGTGGCCTCAAGGGCGTTGCGGCTGCAGGCAGGCGCATCAGTCAGGTGAAGGTGGGAGGGGTGGGAGCGACCCGCCCCGCCTACCACCACAACGGGGCCACCCTCCACCAACGCCACGCAAAATATTCAGTAGTTGTCGGCAGAAGGCTGAACGTGGCTGAAAACCGCTAAAAACTGAAAAGCTCCACCTGAACCGTCTCAATGATACTGCTTTGGATTGTTGCATAATCATAGCGGACACCCCAAAAATGTTCTCTGATTTAAGAAGCAAAAATAATTTTGTACTGCAAAAAGCCACAATGTCCCCAGGTCAATCTCCATCCTCCACCCCCGTCTTGTCACAGCGCATTGTGCTTTACATATCTGAGGGGATGCGCATTAAATCCAAGTGTTTGAAGCGGCGCCCTGCCCTCACGTGCGGCGGCCGTGTTTTTGTCCGCGAGCCGCGCGGTGTCTACGACCTGCGATCGCTCGTATCATGGGTATGGTATAACACTCTACGCACGGGGAGGGCTCGGCCGCGCGCGGGCCGCGGGCTGGGGCTGCCGCTGCCAAACTGGTTTCGTGTTATGCCGTCATCTTATGGTAATGCCCGCGGGCGTGGAAGTGCCTCGCCACGCCCCGCCCCGCGCTCATCTGCTTCAGGCGCACTAGATTGTACAAGTGCGGCGGGCAGGGGTAATTCCTCACGTCCTGTTTCCAATGCGTTTTGGCGTTCGGAAAAATACAAATTATAAAATAAACACACCCGGCGAGCAGGTACTCCCGGAGTGGACGTTCGGCCAGTCGGAAATAAACGCTCACTTCAATACAATGATTCGGCGCTGTCAACCGGCGGTGACACACACTCTTTGTATACAGTCGTCCTCCGCACTGTCAGCCGGGTGACAGGTGCCGAGCCCCCTCGCGACTCCCCTCCCCGGGGCCCTCCTCGAGCAGGTGACCAGCGGGTGACACACGACGCCTGTCTGGCGCCCGCGGGTCGGCGGCGGGTCGCGGCCGCGGACGCGTGCCAGGCCGTTTCCAAACGCAGCCCCTACTACTCTCTGACCACGGTCACCTTGTCCGGTGTTGTCCAACGCCAGACGACACCCGTTGTGCTGCCATAAGTCACGCCGGGCCCACCGTTGCACAATCACTCACGAACGCCGCCGTGTGTTCTTCTGTCTGCCCCAGGATGATGAGGTTCGCGCTGCTGGTGGCCGCGGCTCTGGCCGCCGTGCAGGGCGCCGCCGCGCTCAACAACGACCGCTTCAAGGAGGCGCTCAGCTGGAAGGTGCTGGACTACCAGTACCCGAGCGCCGAGGCTAAGGCGGCCGCCGTCAAGTCGGGCGAGTTCGTCGCGGAGAACAGCAACCCGCTCGGCCTGGAGGTGTGGAACGACAAGGTGTTCGTGACCGTGCCCCGCTGGAAGAGCGGCGTGCCGTCCTCGCTCAACTACGTCAAGTACTCCGAGGGTGAGTATCGGCTCCCGTCCGCTCGGGCACCCGGCAGTGCAGCAGCTTGACCTTGAGCTTCACGCACCAACGCCCTTTGGCCGGCCGTGTGCGTGATGGCGGTGATGACCGGCGCCCAGCCGGGGCCCGTCCTCGGATGTGGGGCAGCCAGGAAGCTGCGCGGCTCGAACTTACTGTTTGGGAGTCCTTGCTCTGGACACGCGCGCCGCATGCGCGCCGCTCTCGCTCTGCTCTCATGGCCCCTTTTGTACCGCAGGAGGCGACAAGTCCCCGGTGCTCGTGCCCTACCCGAGCCTGGAGGCCAACACTCTGATCAAGGACAGCGAGAAGAAGGCCCTGAAGGAGGGCGAGCTGCCGCACAAGATCGTGTCCGTCTTCAGGGTGCGCGTCGACGCGTGCGACCGCCTCTGGGTCATGGACTCGGGCATCTCTGACCTCAAGGGCGACACCCAGGTGCTGGGCCCCGCCAAGCTGCTCGTGTACGACCTCAAGACCGACAAGCTGCTGCGCCAGTACGCCTTCAAGGCCGAGGACCTCAAGGAGGACTCGTTCTTCGCCAACGTGGTGAGTTATCGACGCGACTTTTGCGCTCGCGCCCGTGCGTGGTTGGTTAGCATGCCGCCCCTAACGTGCGCCGTGGTGTTCCCCAGGTCGTGGACACGACTGCGCAGACCTGCGACGACGCCTACGCCTACGTGCCCGACCTCGGCGGCTACGGCCTGGTCGTGTACTCGTGGAAGGACAACACCTCCTGGCGCATCAAGCACAACTTCTTCTACTTCGACCCCCTGTCCGGCAACTACAACGTGGACGGCATCAACTTCCAGTGGACTGACGGCGTGTTCGCGCTGGCCCTGTCTCCCGTTCAGAAGGAGGACGGCTATCGCACCGTGTACTTCCACCCGCTCTCCAGCACCCACGAGTTCAAGGTGCGTTGCGTGGTCGGGGTGTCGGATGGGTTGCCTACGCGTCGGGCGCTGACCGCGCGCCGTTCGCCCGTCGGGTGAACTAGCGTTCTCACACGAAGTTGTTTCTTTGTCGCAGGTATCTTCGCGCGTCCTCCAGAACAAGACCATCGCCGAGCTGCCCGAGACATACTACGCCTTCAACGACCTGGGAACCCGAGGCCCTAACACCCAGTCCTCTGCCTCTTACCTGGACGAGTCCACGGGCGTGCTCTTCTACACCCAGGTGAACCGCGACGGCCTCGCCTGCTGGAACACCAAGTCCAAGGAGTACAACCCCGACACGAACGCGCTCGTGGCTGCCGATAAGGTGACCATGATCTTCCCGAACGACCTCAAGATCGACCCCAAGGGCAACCTCTGGATGCTGAGCAACCGCATGCCCAAGTTCCACTACAAGAGCCTGGACTACAAGGACGTCAACTTCCGCATCTTCAAGGCGCCGGCCAAGGACCTCATCAAGGGCACTGTTTGTGAGAAGGCCTAAGTACTTGGAGGACCTTTCCCGACGACCACGGCTGTGACTGTGTGGCTCTTGGACCAACTGACAATCAAAATTACCTCAGAGCTTTAAAAATATATACTTTTACGGATCAATTATGTTTTAATTCTAATTTTTGATAGACTTTGTTAAGACTTAATTAGTTGTTTCTAGTTTGTAAGTTTGCTACGACTGTGACTCCTTTTTTTATCACATGAGACGTATTAAAAATATACATATTTCTGTGAAACTTTTGTTTTATTATGGACTCCCCAAACTATTTCTTGTTAACAAGAATGCTCTCTTTAATGCAAGCTGGATTTGGTCCTTCCCTACATTTCGATAACTGATGGTCCGACGAGGGAACCCGCAGACACACAGCTCACACTGTTTGGTCCGTGTGGCACCAAGCGGCACGGCTCACGGCTCCTCAGGCGCAGTAGGCAGCCCAACGTACGCCGATGCATTGCGCCGTGAGGCTGCGGCGATGCCGGCCGTGGGGTGGGAAGGGGGGCGGG